AATAATACAAATATGGAAAAGTTAATGAAAGGCTAATTTGTAACATGTTTCTCAATCCTTCGTGTTTATAACTTGGGATTATCACTTGATTACATGATATAACATTATATTTAATTGGATACTATAAATATTTGACCAAAATCCTTGATTATCGCAAAAGTAGTGACCGAAACCTTTTTCGGATTTTAAGTAAAGTTGTTCAGCGGATAAAAATACTATAAGTCTATTATTAGCGAATTAATGTGTTGAATCAATATTTGGTGAGAAATTTCCTATTTTGGAAAAGTTAAACTTTTAGGTTTAACAGCATATATGTAATTGGATATAAATTACCCAATAAAGCGTACATGTACTAAGTATTTTTCACCTGAAAAAAAAAATAATAATAATTATAATTTTTTTTTTTTTAAGAATTTTTTAAAAAATCAAAATTCTGTATTTGTTAATTCAATATAAATATAATAATATAATATATAATAAAATTGTTTTTAATTATAATATTTAAAAACCAATTATATTATATAAAAATAATTTTTGTTTTGGCTTTTAATATTTTTTTAATATTAAAAAAACATTATAATAATTCAAAATTGAAGTAGTAAATGTTAATATATCAAAATTAATTTTAGTTTAATACTTGTTTAGATAAATATTTTGTAATTATTGGCAATAAAACAATTAAAATATTTTTAAAATAGGTTTTTGAATAAATATGAATAATTCTTTTATAACAATATAATAAAAATTAAATTTGAAATTTAAATAATTTTACTATTATAATAAAAACTTTTTATTTTTTATATATTGTTATATATGTTTTATTTAATACAGTATATGAATTTATTTACTTTATATTATTTTGTATAATCTGATATATCAAAATAAAACTGATAAATTATTAATAAAATATTAATAAGCAATATTTATTTATATATAATTTAAATTATTATATAAAGAAGGTCATTGTAATTATTTAAATAACTGGATTGTTTATAAGGTTTGCATTTTAATTTTTTATAAAAAAATAATTTTATTATAAAAATTTTTATTTTATAAATTAAATATCATAAATAAATATTGTTTGTTTGTTTGATTTAATTGATTTATAATTTTTACAAATAATGTATTGATATTATTTGATAAAGATAAAAAATACATATCTTTTTTGAAATTTTTTTTGCTTTTTATACTATGTATCGTATTTTTCAATCAAGTTTATAATTTACTGAATTGATTTTTTACAAATGTGTTTTACTTTATTATACTGTATATATTAAAACAATGTTTTTTATTTCAAATATTGTGATATCAATTTTGTTAATAATATATCATAAATAATAAAATGAATTTTTTTGAATTTTTTTTTTCGATATTTGGATTTAAGTAATTTAATATTTAATCGTGATGTACTTAGTGTAAAAAAAATTAAGTGATATAGCCATATGACGTCCTCACCCAATTAGGGTTTAATTGGGGCTTGAGGGATTTTTTTGGATTTTTTGAATTTTTCTGATAGATATAAAAGAGAAAGAAATATACTAGAAAAAGACAAACAATAATAATAAAGACCTTTTGTGCCATAATCATTCGACGTTACACGATCGGCGATCGCGAAGTAGCGACAGACTCACCCCACAATAGAAAATTTTAATTAGCAAGGATAACAAATGATACAAAATATACGTAATAATAATGTGAGAATGGATTATTATAATTACCGGAGAGAAAATTAAAAAGTAAACAAATAATTTGTTCTATTGTAATATTTATCGATAGGTACTTTTTAGCATATATATACTGTATTTTAAAAAAATTTTTTATTCACATTCATATATGCTATACGAAGTTAATCTTATGTAAGTAAGCTTTGAAATAAGTTTTTTTTTTTAGAAACAAACCAGCTTTTGTTATGCATGAGTGTTATTGCATCTAAACTCGTTTTAAACTTTGTCAAAGTGTCTTGGAAAAGTCGCTTGGTAAATAATTTTAAATTCACGATTGATAGAACATATGACCCGTCTGTGAAAGTATAGTGTAGCGTGGATCTACATCGAAAAGATTCTAATTTTTCTTGTAACTGCGTGTTAGGATGATACTTCAAACAACGAACCATATGTTCCATGAGTTTAAAGCAGCACATGGTTAGATGTCATTAAAAAAAAACCTTGTTATTACTAGCAAGCATCATTGATTTGCATTTTCGGTAGATAAGTCATCGATTCTGCAGGGGAATAAATAGTATTAGAATTTTTAGTTTATCAGATTTCGGTGAAACATTGATTTTTTTTGTCATCACACATTAGGAAGTCATTGCTCTTTATGAAATTACTAGATTCAAGGTTGTTTAGAGATCCGAACCAATTGCTTGAACATCGAATACCGATGGCAAATTACTATAAATACTGTATTTTCGCGTTTAGAAGTTCTCCAATTAATTTTTTTTTTCACGTTTCTTAAGAAACCTACACTATCCTTCTTTTAATACCCTCAATAATAAATTGCTTGCGAAAAAAGTTTAAACTTTAATCTGGCATTGAAGAAATAGCAATTTTCGCAAACAATATGAATCTTCCACTTAAGAACATACTTCTCGGTGTAAAAGGTGTCCAGTTATTCCTCGTCTTTCTAATTTTGATATTAGGTTTGCATCGATCGACCCATTATTGTATGCTGACTTCCAATATTCTATTATAGTCACTTTCTGATCCCATTATTGTTTTTCAAATAGAAATCGTACAGGCTTCAAATTTCATTAGCTTTTATAATGAATTCGTTTACCCAGACATGAACCGTGTTCTAAAAAAGACTTACGGCGACGGAAGCTCCCAGTATTTTACAGGCGATTATGTGGGAAAAGCTGGGACCGTTGTATGGGTGTTCATCGTAGTACTACTTACCTTTTTAAGTCTCAGTAAGTTTCTCTCGTTAATTAACTCAATTATATTTTTTACTAATGAAATATCTTAACTAACGCAATTGTACTTGTACTAACTATACTATATTTATCTTCATTATTTAGCTGCCTATTCGGTTTTTTTCTTCCTAGGTCGTGTCTGGGAAAGTAGGGCTAAAATTTATTTCGTTGCATTTGACCTGTGAGTATTTTTTGATTCGCACTGCTGAATTTAGGATGCTCTTAAGTAAAACTTCCTCTTTATTTTTAGTATCTTCTTCGTATTATGGATCACTGAAGGTATTGTGATTAAATTTTTTCAATTGTTAACAATTCTCGATTGAGGATTTTATAATTAAAAAATTTTTTTCTACCTTTTTTTAAAAAAGTCTTCTCAAACTTATATTGGGCCTACAAAGGTGATGAAACTATTTGCCATTACTCCAAGGAAATTGATGATTCCAGGGTGAACGCTCTTTGTGGAGCTTATACTGCTTCCAATGTATTTGGATGGTTCCTACTGGTGACCTTCTTATTGGCTGGAGGGCTCTCATTCAAGGTCTATCTTGATGCAAAGAAAGAAGTGGGCACTGATGTCAATAAAAATATGCAACAAAATCAACAATTTAATCAACAGAAATTCCAACAGCAGCAATCTAACCAACAGCAATTTCAACAACAACAATTTAATCAACAACAGCAATTTAATCAACAACAGCAATTTAATCAACAACAGCAATTTAATCAACAACAATTTAATCAAAAGCAGTTGAATCAGTCACAATAGATTGTACATAATGTATAATGTTGAGATAATTTTATTTATATGCATTATTAACATCAAATGTTGACTTTAATAACATGATGCATTTTATAGTTAATAAATATTGTCGTAGTTCACTGGTAATAATGACCGCAAACAAAAATTAAACAAGGCGCTTTTACACTTAATTTTTTTTTTAAAAAAAAAAACAAAAAATTCAATTAAACTATCAATACACATTCTTTATTTTGTTTCTTCTTTACGTATTTATTTATTTTTTGATGCTGTATTTAATTCTTGTAAATCGCGCTCGCGAATGGCGTCAATTAATATCACATGACGCAGTCAATTTTAGACTTTTAAAAACAAATATATGACTATATGTTGTATACATTATTTAATATAGTTCATGGCATTTGGCTGTATCTGCTGTTATGGATAAAGAGGACAGCAGTTGATTAATACGTGACTGATGTTTAAAAGTTGAGCGGTAACAAAAATTGCATTTTTATGTAGAGGACCGAACAAATTCTTATCACCCCTCAAATAAAATATTGGTTCTAGCATAGTTGATTAAAAACCACATTGTTGTTATATAATACCAATAAAATTAATCAGTGAATTGCGGTGTTGCTGAAATTATCAATCATTTATTTATTTCAAAATGATTTATATATAAAAACTTTTTGTCGTTTCTTTCCATCTTAGTCTAATAAATTAGATGCCGGATAACGGTGATTATTTCGAAGGGAAATTCTGGAACATTAGGACAGCGTGCTATGAACAATTTGAAAAATATGCGGTCAAGGATACATGTATTATTTATTTATTTATTTATTTAAAACAGTAGACGAAGCTGAAGTCAATAAATTTCAGTATCAATTGGCATGGTTCCCACCCTCGCTTGCTTCCATGTGTAATAATACACAATTAATACTTTGTATCCGATTGGATAGTGTGTTGTTTATACTTTATTGTATGATCAACGCCTAAATCAAAAAAATCACCTTTTCCTAAACCTATTGAAAATTTGCACAGTAACCTATAACATTAATCAAAAATTTAGAGAATCCAATTTGGAATGTGACGCAACAATGCCAAGATGAACACAAATATTACACTTTAAAACCTAACCATTTATTTTATTGACATTGTTTTCAAGACTTGTGTTTTGAAAAATGAAAAAGCAGATTTAGCCAATCTAAGTCCGCACATTATTGCGTTCTACTTTTTTATTGGTACAAGTCTAATATTGTTATTGTGACACGGACCTAAATTAAGGTCAAATACCGTTAGCAACCTTTCCTTTTTTTATCGCAAATACGATTTAAGGTTGTCGTACGGGCTGTATTATCAAATACAGTGATTTTTTTTTAATATCTCGTTTTATATAGGTATGAAAATAAACTAGGAAACGAGACTGTTATTAAGTCCAGAACCCTATAAATCATGAATTCATAATTTATATTATTGGAATTTATATTCTATTACTGTATTTTAAATGAATAAAAAAAGTTGTCACTTTATTTATTTTCATATTCAAAAAAATATATACAGTATATTTGTTATTCATTTATTTTATCACGTGACGGACAGGCAGAAATTCTTACCAATTACAGTTTGCAAAGAATATACTATATACTATACGTCCTATGACATGCTCTAGACACCTATATTTAAATACGTATTAATAATTTTAACATTAATATTGTAGTTTCAAATAAAATAAAATAAATTTTTAAAATATACATATTATGTAATATTTAAAAAAAACAAATCTTTTTTTTTATAATTTTTATATTATACAATGTTAAAAAAAACGAATCATTTTTATCAGATAAAAAAACTTTTTTCCAAAATTTTACATTGCTTAAAAAATTTCTTTTTTAGTAACTGGCAAAATTATTAAAAGAAATAAAATAATAAATACTCTTGGGAACTTTTTTCTCAAGAACAAATTAACAAACTCATTTTATATTGTTATGTATCATTTCTATCTCAAGAGAAAGATAAAGACAAATAACTAATAGCAAAGAGACACTTTAGATGGACAAAGCCAATGTGATATGCTAAAATTTCTAAAGGCATATAAATTGGTACAATTTTGAAATATATAAAGTCAGATGTAAAAAACAATAGTAATTTGTTTTATAAAAGTCAAATTATTTATTCAATAAAATATATGTCCAAGCTTGTCAATTTCTAAGCAAAATTAAAAAATTTATATATATGTTTGAGTTATATTAATTTTGTACAGGATAAATATATGCTATGGTAAAAATTATAATTCTGAAAATTGGAATCAAATAGAATCGAATGGAATCACATGAGGTTCGGAACACTATTAAAAATAATAGTGGGGTATACCCCATCTATTAAATTTAATATAAACTTGAGAATCGAATATAGAATCGAAGAGAATCATTAGGATCTTTAGTAAAAATATAAACTAAGATATAAATACTATCTTTATTAGAATATTTAACTGTATTAGCATTTATATAGATAAATACTTTGGCAAAGATAATATAGGAAATAAAAATAAAATAAAATAAAAAAATTCTAGAAATAGTAAAAGTGCAATAGATACAATAGATACTGAAGGTGTAGTAACAGATTTGTAATACAAGACTATTCTAGAACAGCTAATCTTTCAAGAATCAATACTAGTAAAAATTAGACAAAGAATAATGAAGATTTTGAATAAAAATCAAGTATAAAAAATTTTTCCACTAATATATAAATTCTACAAATTTAATCTTGTGTTAGAATAATAAAATTAGAGTGGGACAATTGTCTAATTAAGCAAATAGTAGTGAATCAGATTCTATAAATTTAATGGATTTCAACTTTGTTAAAAAGATAATATGTATATGAAGAAGCTGAAGAATAATATCTAGTGATCTATGAATTCAAATAGAATTTTTGTGTTCAGCTGGAAGTTGTTTTTAATAATTCTTTAAGATAATAAATATTGTTGGCAGGGAAATAGTATGAGGCATGGTTGTGTAACGCGATCTGGGGCGTCACATGTCCCGATTATTGATAATCAAAGACCGATAGTCTATAGTAGCACGTAAAATTATGATGTAATTGAGAAAGCTTAATTAG